CCGTCCGTCCGTCCGTCCGTACGTCCGTCCGTCCGTCAACATTTGGCTACGGTCAACGATAGCTCAGGAACCGTTTGACCCACATGTTTGAAATTGGGTATAGTTGTTACTGCTATGCTCCCATATTAAACGTCCCAAAAATGGGAATTTCCATTAGTCAGTTCAGGTTCAACGGATTTTGCTCATTTTTGGTATGTGAATGAAGGGGTTTGGATATTTAAAAAAAAAATTATGTAAATTAGGTAGGTTTCCCATTTTTGCCAAAAAATTGCCGTGGCTCGAAAGTACGTCGACTGGCGTGCTCCAAAATAGGACGTTTAATATGGGAGCATAGCAGTAACAACTATACCCAATTTCAAACATGTGGGTCAAACGGTTCCTGAGTTATCGTTGACCGTAGCCAAATGTTGACGGACGGACGGACGTACGACGACCCATGGCAATAGCTCAGCTTGACGATGTCAAGGTGAGCTAATAAAATACTGCTGTTTTAGTATTAAAGATAGAGTCTCCCTTTAGTTCCATGTTTCCAATTAAGATGGCGCCATGAGTTCAAAGCTGTATTTGAGCCTGATGGACTTGCAAAAAAGGCTGCTCGGCTGTATGTACAAATTTTTGCTTGGACGCAAGACACGGCTGGAGAAAACCACGAATGGTCTGGTCAGCAAACACAGCTGCCCCCAACCCACTATCACTGCACATAAAACTACTAATTAATAAACTGTCGAGTTTTAAAAATTTGTGCAAAAAGTAGCAGGGCGCAATAAGCAAGATAAAGACAATGTTCAAATGTTTTGAAGTCTTAACTACTCCTGATACACAGACTAACAAGTGTTGCTCACCTCCACAAACATGCTCCTTTGAGATTGACATTTGCTTCTCTTTTGGCAAATTTCCTAATAAAAACCCTGCAAAATACACGTTTAAAATGACAATCATTACTGTTTAGTAACACAATCTTCTTATTAATTTAAAATGGACTAAACATTTAAGAACAAGTGCTGCAGTGCGACAGGGCTCATCTGGTGTCTGGTGTTCTGCTGATAAATTTATTTGTGCATAGCAAGACGTCTTATACATAAGTCTTCTTTATTCTTGTTTGACTTTCGTGGCCAATTCAAACAAAAATATATCAGCTACACTTTCGCACCCACCTAATCTCTATGCATTGCAGACACATGTGCATTGCAGGTTGGCAGGCAACAATTATGATTAGAAGCGTGCCAGCCATGGGCTGCCCCGTGTTTTTGCCTGCACACGCGAGCATTCACTGATTCAGCCTTCAGGGTGCTATAGACAGACTGCTTTAGAAAATAATATGATTTAAGGAGCATATAAACCTTGTTCAACAAACATTTGCCTTTGCAATTAAACTGTGCAACTGTAGCCTCACATTCACACAGGTATGGGCTCTAATAATAGCAAAAGCAGTTCAGTCCTTTGTTAACAGTCAACAAATCAATGTTTAATCCTCCTCTTGAGGATCAAAAGGTTATCCGACACTTACTCTTCGCATGTCAGCGGAAAGTACATTTCATGGTCCTTTCAATAAAGCCATAAAAATGGTAGGTCGCCGCTGAAACAAAAAAGTTTTTCAATTGCTCCGTCAGACCATGTTCTCAGAAAATGTCTAAAATCTGCCCTGTACCCCATTGACCTTTGACCTGTGACCTCTAATTTTGGCACAGTGATGGCTTTTCCTACCATGATGCTATACACCGACTATCACGAGCCTAGGTCGAGCCGTTTAGATTTGTGCCGCAATTCTGCATTTCCTTCCTATACCTTAAGTTAAGGAGGGAATGTTCCCCCTTATTTTACACCTTTGTCCTTTGACCTTTGACCCCCAGCTTCGACATCCCAACTCGTTTTCGAATTACCCCCCCCCCCACGTCCCGAATATCGTGACCGTACGTCGAGCGGGTATGATTTGTGCCCAACAGTTGACGGACGCACGGACGCATGGCCGGACGGATGCACGTTCATGCGATTCTACAAGCTGCATATGACTATGTCAGATGAGCTAAAAATGAATGTATGTATGCATATAATATGCAAACTGCAGTTCCACATTATTGATTTCTTTTCTCTATTCGCCAGTGTAAATCAATGGACCTAATGTAGAACTTAAGTTGATAATATTCACACTTTCATGATGTAGAAACAAGCATTCTATTAAAATCCCACGAAACCTTGCCATATTACCATCTTGCTGATTCTGTTATATATTGTACATCATATATTTGATTAACAGTAAAATTCAGTCACATATCTGTCACATATCTATTACATCTTATGTCAAAAATCTGTTACATATCAGGTAGACTGGATCTGTAAATATCACTACCTGGTACAGCTGCTATGAACACAATCATTCACTTGCCTGTAAACATTGCAGCATTGCTTCTGATCATGTGACAAGAGCTCTTGAAGAAAGACACATTACCCATCACATAGAAATTTATCTTCTCCGGATAGCTGGCGATCTGAAAGACATCGTGCGTGTTGCGTTTCATCCCACGATTCAACCAAGCCGAAATTCGGGCACACAATTTCAAAGCTTCTTATTTGCAAGAGATTTCAACGAACCTACATGAATTTGGGGGACAAATGAAAAGGACATCTCATGAGGCTGCATGATTGCATCTGCAGAGGTGGTCGACAAAAGAGGAATTGCTCAAAACGTTTCGAACAATAGGAATATACTAATTAATTTAGGAATGAAGGTCATATAGTAAAATGTAAAAAAATTTGAAAAGACAAAAAAGCCAGATTAAATACAAATTTCATCTATTTAGTCAGCTGTAACTGGAACCTGACTATATACTTTATATATAATATATATACATGGTATTTTGAAACTTGTTATGTATAAACTAGCTAGCTATTGGTACTCCCATATGACTGTCATAGCAAAGCAATTCTAAGAAATTGGCCGGCTGCATGTCACAAGTACATGAAACTGTACGTACCTTACCTTATGATAGTAAGATGTAGTAGTATAGTATAGCAGTAGTAGAGTATGAAGTAAGGCAAAACTTGACACACGACAAAATGATTTGAGGAAATGACACGACTTGGTAAAATTACACATACCAGGACCTTGGAAAGGTCATTGATGAACTCGCCATAGTGAAGGTGAGCATCGTCTAGCAGGTGCTTCTGGAACATGTCATTCAGGGAGCTGGAACTGATGCGTGGACCGAGCAGCCGCAGGCTATACTTGCTTGCCTACGCAGACAGTGCGTGTAAATCAAAACATGTACGGTACACTTTGTGTCAACACCTCGTAAACGATACTGTCTGAACCCTTAATAGCAAAATCTATTGCAGGTTTCTATTCTCCCTTGGCTAAGCAGCGGCGGCGATGCAATCTACCATGAATAAATCATGTTCCTTCCGAGAAGGCAACATCCACCCACACAGCGGCACCACGCAAAAAAATTAATGCCAGTGCGGCCGACCTTTACACGCACACGACTAGCATTACCTTGCACTTTCTTCCAATAAAATATTCCAAAATTGAAATTCCAAGTGGATTTTCTCTCAATACCTCACAGGTAGAGATGTAGTATGCTCGTGCCTACCTTGACTACATCCTCACTGCTGTCATGGAGGTGCAGCAGGAGACTCACCAGGTTGGCATGAATCTGCTCGAGAAACGGATCGCGGGACGGCCCGTCGGAAAATCTTGACAGATTTCCAAACAAGCGGAAGGCCTCGGCCCTCACCTCGTCCCTCTCCTGCAAAATATTAAACAGTTAGATGTGCTAGAGGCCACCAACTTTCATCTGCGGTAGGAATAAGATCAAATATCGAATAATGAAATTAAATCAGGTGCTACAACAAAGAATGCAATTTTCATCTCGTATTCAAATGAGAGAGGATTCGTGCAATAATAAATCAAAGAGAAGGAGCATTCTACACGACTTTGTGTAATTATAAAACGTAAGAAAACAATTTAGTATAAAACTTTGCAGCATCAGGTATTTATCTATAATGTAACATTGCTGTAATTTACAAATTCGTGTACTCCATGGTACATTGATGGATTTTGCTATATGAAAAGTAATGAAAATATCTCGACTTAATACGTTGCGTACATAGATGATGCTTAGAGTACAAAACAATCTGCAAGCCATAACAAGGCATTACCTTCTCAAAGCAGGGACGTATGCGCAATGCAATGTTTATCAGTATGCCCCGCACATGGTGCTCGTCGATGGCCGCCAGTATCTTGGACAGACCAGACATGGCTGCCAACGTGATGTCGCCTTCCTTGTCCTCACGGTCATCCATGCCTGCCATCATCGCCGACAACACCGTCGTCGAATACTTCTGCACCTACTCACAATACACGATGCAGCTCGTGTACATTTTATTGTATCCATCAAGTGTGCACGGGATGCATAGAACTAGTTAACTTGTTACATCAATGGTAGTGGATCGATTGTAGTCGTTTATTGTTACTACTCTTTGAGTGGACTGTGCTGCATACATTATAATTAAACATCTCGGAATAATGCCGCAGAACATATTATTTTTGTTAAAAATTAACTATTATAAGTTACTTTCACTTTCCATACATTATACTAATCAAACACAAAACTCATTACCGATTTTCACAATAAATCAATATCACTTATAATAACGACTAGGAGTCACACAAGTTTTATCCCCAAATTCCGTTATGGAAACGCACAAAATATTGTCGATTTACATCAGATCATCTTTTGTTCGTACCTGCTCGTTTCCAGCAGTGCCTACGTTACCGAGGCCGCGTATGCACAGCATGCGGACGGACTGCGAGGGATCGACGAGCCTAGTCATTAAACTGTTCATCATGATCTCAGTGAGCGCGCCATCCGCCTTCCCACAGTGACCTATCAACTACACAGACAACAGTCCTTACTTACAAACACATCAGAGCAACGTTCCACTGATTATCCATAGCGCATGTTGTAATATCACCAGTATCGTATTACCGTCACATCTCATGCGAAGCATCGTGAAAATCTTCGAATTTTGTGAGAGATTTTGAATGTGGTGGCAGGAGAATGTAAATTGATACCTCCCCGAGAAATGCTACTGCGACGATTCTTTGTGTGTCGTACAGACTTGCTAGTGATGGATTCATAGCCGTGATGACCTGTGTCAATAGCTCTGGTTTCTGCACTGCCAATGACCTACAACCAGTGGTACAATACACTTGTTAAACAATAATTCAATCTAAGCAAGAGATATACAATTATACAATCATGCCCTCATTCATGAAACGTGTTACAATTCATTGCAAAGCTCTTTGAATGCGTATACAAACACAGTGACCAATACTACCTTGCTACATTACAAATGACATCAGGGATGTCTGCAGCTACAGCCAGCTTCTTCCATCCGTCAATGCGCTGCAACCCATCAATGATCATATCCCCGCCTGTACACACAAGAAAGTTCCGCAGAGCCTCGATAGAAATCCTGCGAAAATACAGGGGAACATTCTGCGATGACAAACATCATGCAGTCATTTCAAACACAATAACATCATGGATACACTTGCGAAAAACAGCAGCGTAAAATTTTTCCGATACTCACGCAAAGTCCTTGCACAGTTTTTAACAACATACAAGCCCTATAGTTTCCATAATGCTATTAACATTGTCAATTAAACCAACTGCTAGTCTTAGCTACAATGCTATTAATTAAACTATTAATTAAGATATTAATTAAACGTGCCACCGGCACAGTCCACGCACCTGCTGGGATTTAGCACCTGGTCACGGCTGGGTGCGAGAATATCCCATGCCCAGTCTTCTCCGCGTGGGCCCGTCTTCCCTCCCGACTGCTTCTCGTCCTTCTTCTCCTCCTGCTTCTGGTGGGGAGGGGCCTTCACGTCGACCATGACGCCGATGGAGGTGAGCAGGGTGACGAAGACGCGAGCGTAGTTCTGCATCATCGTCGCAGTGCAGTTGTCGGCCCTGAAGATCTCTGCGAGTGCGCTCAGCACCTGAGAGCACACACACGCAAAACTACGTGTCACGACCTGCACCCGTGATTCCACCACACTGCGAGATTACGTGCACGCGATAAACTCTAACTGATTTCAATACTTGAATCAAATATTCGCGTTTCTGCCTCGAGTAAATCCAATTACTGTCACATTCAGTGAAGGTTTGATATCTGGTATGCGTGGCCGAAAGCCGAATGCAATAATCACGGGTATGCGTCGACTGGTGCCACGTCTTGCGCTGGAAGCTTATGATAACATGTTCAAGACTGTGGTGCTATAGTTCTCGTTTACACAACGTGTGTGACTCATACTGCTCCAAATGGATTTGAAGATTATTTCACCCATTAAAAAAAAAATTCATGCCTATTCTTAGCAGAATTGTATGATGCATTCAACTTTTAAGGAAGGTATGTCAGTGCAACACAGAATAAAAACCAATGGTAAATGTGTTAAAGGTCAAACTCACAGCTAATGGCTGGTTATTGGCAATGCGCAGAGTTTTGGTCTTGTCCCGCTCGCGTGGGTCAGGTTTCTCCTGGAATGGCACAGCACGTGCAAGAGACTCTAGCAGTCTGTCCAGCACGTTCTGTGCAGTGGCGCCATCTCCTGCCAAAACTTGCCAACAGTCACGTACTGTCCTGCAGGGAACATTAAAAAGCAGATGATTGTATGTGGAATGTAAATTCTAATGAGTGGCTGAGGACTGCAGTCATGTCGGAAAAATTATTACAAAATTTAGAAGCATAGTAAACCCTCTCGATATCTCTTACATGCACCTGAAAATATGAATATGAGTTAATATAATCATACATACATCTATTACAGTTGACATTTGCTCATCCTGTGGAGGCAAGGAAGGAACACGGATAGCAAAAGAGCAGCAATAATTCAAAACAGAAATTTTTTATTCCATTGCTGAATCTTGTACGTGCTTCTTTGGGTTTTGCTGCATTGTCAATGCAATTCCTTTACACTTTCACCTACTTTTAGGCAGTCTGTCTGACATCAATACATAAATTACAATATAATGCTCCAATTCTTACTGGTCATATGGCAGGTTGTATTTCATGAGGCAGTTGATAACAGCAATGAGATGATGGTAAGCAAGTGTTCTCATGCAGCGCAAAGTCCCGGTTCTTGTCTGAACGCAGGTAATCTCACAGAGCTTGCAGTGAAGGTCATTAACAAGTGACTCCACCTAGTGTGACAGAAAATAACTGAAAAGTATGGAACTTGTGGACAGCAAGGCCTATAGATATAAACACACACATATCTGGAAAGCAGACACATATCTGGTAATTATATTAAAGTATCCAAAATATTAAACTTTAGAATAGCATTTATTGGTCCAAGGACCAGTTATTAATGTATGTAATGTTATAGAAAAAGTGGACACACTATATATACATATATAATAGGGATTATACACAATAATGATGATATTATTTTAAAGCGCAATGGTTACCAATAATACAATTATTCTATAATCACATGCCTCATGTCTGTGCGCCAACAAGAGTTCAGTGATTTCAGGGCAGTGAGGAAAACAACAAGAGCCGCAGAGCGTCTGGGCTCATCTGAGGTCTGTTGCTACGGTTATAAACGTAACATTTAAGTCGTGCGTAGTGACACCTTTGTTAGGCACAGATAGGCAGATACGCAGTTGCGTACACATCATTTCAGCAACCTTCTGCATTCTGCATACCTCCCAAATCCCATTGGTTGATACAAATCACGTGCCTGAAACTCCTGTTTTATGGTGCACTAGCTGGGCTACCCGGCGATGCTTGGGATTTTTTGGGGGTTACTGCTTTTCTGCTATTTCATGCGTTTTGTGCTATTGCTTGCGTTTCGGCATTTTTCATGCGATTGCCTGATTTTGAGCCTGACTATAGTTGAGCGCTAAAGGATTGCTGTTCTAGGATTCGTCTCGACTTTTCTGCTGCAGTGTATAGTCGAGCGCTAGGATTGCTGTTATTGTTAACTTTTCTGCTGCGCGAGTATTTTTTTGGGGGAAATCTGTTGTTTGTTTTTTTGCCCTTATTTTTGCGTTTTTGTGCAAATTGTTTTTGGCCTAAAATGGTCGTCGCGTCATGCTGATTGAGAATATACCTCACGGGTGACCTCTTACTGGTCTCAAGAAGACAGACAGACAGATAGATCCGGCGATTTATTGTAGATGAATACGAAACGAAAAGCAGCGAGATGACACGGTGGTGTTGCAAGCCCAATGCGTTTCTTTCAGCCTGGTAGCTTATCTCTGCTGCGTCGCT